CAGAAAGGATAATCTTCGTAAAAGATTAGAAAAGGCGAATAGTTATAATGAAGGTACGTATTGAGATTTTTTTTTCATAAATTATATATTCAATATTATAATAAATTATAATTGTAATATTGTAATATGTAATATTGTAATTATGAATGATAAGTTATATACTGTATTGTATAAATCCTTTATAGATTCATTAGATGCGGAAGAATTGAAAAGAGTTAATTTAGAACGGAATCTCAAATATTTTACCTTTAATCTAAAAGAAATGAATTAGATAAATAAAAATCAGCCATTTTAACATTATAAAATTTTTTGTGGGGTTTAGATATTGATAAGTGCAGTATACGCACAGCTTAGTCTAAATTAATGATTGTAATAGCGATAACGACGATGGGGTTTGTCTTTTAGACACACGCTATTAGAAGACTTAAAAAGCGGTAAACTTGTGATAACATATTGAAACATTCATGATTCGTTATAAAGTTTATTGTATAAAGTTTATTGTATAAGTTTATTACATATATAATTTCAAGTTTAATTGTGTTTCAAATGACTAATGAGTAATGCTAATGGAAGTTATCAATGATAGAAAAAAACGCAAGAACCCCAGATAAATGAGATGGTTTGTGCGTCACCTTTTTTTAGAATACGCTGTCAAAACAATCAAGGAGATCCAAAAATCGCGTGAAAACAACGTTTTAGTATTGTCTAACGTTACAAAAACGCCATCGAGGATCACATTGGTACTAGCATGTGAAAATTGAACCAACTAGAACTTAAAATTAAACTTTTATCAAATCGCGTTTAATATAAGTTTAACAAAAAAAGGGACATAGTATAAAAAAATATAATCAATATATTTAATTAAATTGTTTTTTTTTTTTAACTATTTGAAAATGTATAACCAAAAAGATAAGCTACCAAAAGTAATAAAGATATTAGCATATATCAAAATAAAGTTGGAATATATTGAAATGGCTATTGAATTGCTAAGGTTAAAGCGATGAATTTACGGAGTGAATAATAATTTAATGTTTTGGTTGTCTTTCTTCAGCCTTTCTAATAGCTTCGTATAAAATGTGAGTGGCATGTGGATGAGGCCTTCCAGCTTTTCCACTCAAGAGATTTTCAGCAGAAATATCTTCGCCATAAAATGTCTTATTCGTGTCCTTACGCTCAAAGATGATAGTACCTTCAAGCGATACACCTAATAAAAAGTTGGGAATAAAGAATGAATATAGTATAAATAACTTGAAAACAAATGAATAATATTTTGATAATAAAACGTACCAACGAATAGACCTTTAGATTTGCTATAAGAAAAGAGGGAAGCGCCATCATAAACACTACCAGAAACTTCACCTCCCATACCAACAGGACCGGCGGTTACTACAATAATTATTAAAACAAGAATGTAAATCATATAATTTATTATATTTAAAAAACAAATATGAAATGAAAAAAAAGGATAAGCTTACTAGATAAACTTCCTATATAGGGTACATAATAAAAAAAAGACCATGGATGTTAATTATATATAAAATATATATAATAAAATAATGATAATTATAATAGTAAACTACAAGATGTAATTACCGCCCAAGGTTACATTTTCACCATGAGAAAATGCTTTGACAGCCTCTTTGGTGTTGAGGATGATTACAAAGTCGGTAACGTCAGCACCGAATTGTGCACCAAAACCCTGATAATAAATATTAATAGATATTAAAAATTATTAATAAGTATTAATAAAAAATGGTCCTAACAGCTGGAAACTTACCAATCCACCGATACTAATACAAGATGGAGAAGACCAACCTATATCGTGAGAAAAAAAGAAAAAGAGTATGATAAACAATTTGTATAACAGTATAACAAATAATAAGATAAAATCATAATTTACGTACTTCCATCTTCAAGTCTACAAGACAAATAAGACAAATAACATTTTACTATATATAGCAAAAGTCAAACATTATGAAAAATGATACAATCTAATAATATAAACTTACTTGGAAACAACCAAACCCGATCCGACGCGTCCGGACCATACAAAACCAGCTTTGACAACGGTGAAGATAGCTAAACCAAGGGCTTTATTAAAGACTTCCCTCGGAATTACATGATCCAAACCTCCTTCAGCTTTTTCTGGGTCTTTAAAAAAAAAAAACCAAAGAATTCGTAAAAAGTACACGAATAAGTAAATATAAATATAAATATTTATATAATCACCAGTAAAACTATTCAAGATATTGGTGGCTTTTGTGACTTCAGAAGCGAAATCGCCTGGTAAAGGAGAATTTATGTTGTTTTTTTGCGCAACTTTTGATATTTCATTATTAACCTCGGTAACTGCTCTGGTAATTTGTTCTCTTCCGCCTTCATAGGTATTTTTAATCGTATTGACGACGTTTGATGCCATGATTATAAGTTGTAATAAATTTAAATTGTTGTATAAAAGTTTTGAAATTTTAAAAATTGTGAAGATAAGGAAAAACAGCGTGAGAGAAATCTACGACTATTTATAAAAATGAAGAAATGTCAAATATCGGTATTTGGTAATTAAGTCGCACGTGTTGAAGTTGCAAGGACAAACATTTGTTATCAAATGTTCTGTCGATGATTTCTTTATGAATCAAATTTACTATTACATGACGTAAAGGTAGCACCAGGGCTAGGGCTGAATGACAACCTTTCACATTTTTCACATTTTGTGTGGCGAGATATAACTATATGTAATAAACATTCGAACATTCGGAGGCTGACGCGTCTTAGTTTTTTAAAACCTGACTTTAACGTTTAACACAATATAATCATAAGTTTGTTAACTCCGATCGGGAAATTATTTATAAATGATTACCTGTATCACTTTGTGATTTTGTGATCTTTGATCTACGTATAAAATCAAATTTATATATGTATATAATTTTTTTTTTTTTTTTTATTGTTCAATTTTATTGTTCCACTTAAAAATTTAAAATATATCATTTTGATATTTTCCATTAGCCATGCCTGTTCCTTTTGAAGCGCTTATCCCTTTAGGTGAATGAATTTCAGTTAATAAATTACAATAAATTAATAAAGATAATTATTATTAATTTCCTATGAGAATGGATTTTCATTTTCAGGCATAATTGTCGGAATGATAGGAGTTACTGGTACCTTATTGAATTATACAAAAAGGATTCGGCATGAAGGCAAGGTAATTCTTTAGTATGAAAATGTCAAAGTTATTCCCGAACACTTGTGAAAATTGATTTAACTAATTGTGATGGCGTACGAATTGTTTCGTATTTTGATTATTTTGATCATTTTGATCATTAGCCTCCAAGGATCTCTTTAGATACTTGGGATAAACAAATGATGGAGCGTGATAGACGATTGACTGGAAGTGCTCATCGTCAATCGGTTGCGTGTTTTCTTTGGAATATCTTGTCATTTCATTCATTAAGTAATCTAACCTTACTTTTTCGGTAATCTTTACGACTTTCTAGTCTAATCCAGTAGCTCCAAAAGAGTTTTCGACAAACAGTGTTTGGTACCTGACTACCAAAAAAGTTTTACATTAGAAAATGGCGTGTCATGTTCGCAAAAAATTACATAATAAAATAATAAAAGTTTATATAAAAATTTATTTACAGTATCTATATAAAATTTATATTAAAAAATTTATGTACAAAAATTTATATAAAAAATTATATAAAAAATTATAGATAAAAAATTGATATAAAATTTGTACATGCGTATAAAAAAAATGACATCTTGCGTTGTTGGTACACTGTATTTTCTTTAACAGAATTATATACGATATAATGAAGAATGGCCCAATCGGACATCGATATCTTTTTTTAAAATTGTAATTTGCTAATTTGCCCGGGTTCGATTGGCCCGAATTAAAAATAATTGTGATCATCGTATAACGGATGACGGATGATAACGATAACGTTATTTCTTTTTGTTTGAATTTGAAATATCTTTAATTAATAATTAAAAAGTGAGTCATTATCATTATTCTTGTATACTATGCGTGTATTTTTATCAATTACTTTATTATCCGAATTATTATAAATACCTTTTAATCTATTTATACTTTTTCAACAAAAGTGGCAAAGAAAGCTAAAGCAAGGTAATTTATAAATTTCATTAAATGAAATTAATGATAACGAACATATTTTATGCTGATAAATCAAAAAAAAAAATCAAGGACAACAATAGTAAAACTTGTCTCAGCTGCCGGTACCGGCTACTTTTACACAAGAACTCGACCAAGACAATTACCAAAGTTATCATTTATTAAATATGATCCTATAGGTATGTTTTCTTTATCTTTCAGACTCTTTATTTGGTGCAATACTGATTTTTTTAAATTATTACAAGTTCGTAGACATGTGTTATTCAGAGAACAAAAAATTAGAGGATCTTAGTGTAAATTATCTCAATAATTTTTTTCAATAATTTTGTCAAATGATTTTGTCAAACTGCGATTTTACTTTGAATATAATATACTCTCTATAAATCCAATCAAGATTAATATTACGCGCTATTGCTTTGTTTCTTTCGTTCCTCTTCTCTTTGCTTTTTCTCTACAAGCCGCATTCTACGCAAATAGCTTTATAAACGCATCGTGTTCCAATTTATGTTTCGAATGAGATAAATGATTTTAAAAAAAAATTTTTGAATATTTATTCAATTACTCACTCATCATATTGACATTTTTCATATGCGTGCCTCTCGTTTTCGCATTTCCACGGCAAGTAATTGTTTTTATTTCGACATTTATTTAATGGTATTAATAAATGTGCACAAAAGTCTCGAAATTCTAGAGGAAGGTGTGCTTCCTCCATTTCTTGTTGCGTAGCAATCATTACTATACAAAAAAAAATAAATAATTCGTTTATTCATTTGTTAAAGTTAAATGAAAACATTTGTATTTTTTCTATGAATGACTTACCGGGTTTTTCATCGTCGCCGGTCATTATTGAAAAGTTTGATGCGTAAAAGTCAGTTTCGAAGACCGTCATATCGATTTATTTCACGACTATATCATGTGATCGTGATCGCTACGTAATTTCTGACTAACACTAATAAGTACTAACAACTTTAAACTAACACTAAGTTACTATATTTATAAGCCACCCGAATGTGAAAACTTATTCGCGTTTGCATAAAATTACAATTTTTCATCAACTTCGTAATGCCAAAATATTATTGTGGTAAGTTTATATATACGTTTTTGTACTTAAGTATTTTTTTTGTGATCATTCTTTTGATCTTTTTTATTTAAAAACATTAGATTATTGTGACGTATATTTAACGCACGGTAAGTGTTATTTGGCTTTATTGGAAATAGAGATCACACACTCTTAAAGCTAATAAGAGAAATTTTTTTAAAGATTCGTCATCGGTGCGAAAAGCTCATAATAATGGTAAAAATCATATCATGAACGTAAGAAACTATTATGCCGGTAGGTTATCTTTTTTTTTGGTGGATTTTTTCCTTATTGTTTGTTGTTAACCCGTTGATCGGTCAAAAAAAAAAAAAAACAGAATTAGGCCAAGATAAAGCGCAGGCAATTATAGACGAAATTACAAAAGCGTACGAATGTGTTGGACAAGCCGGTAAGCTCTAGTCTAATTTGATGTTCAATTCGTGTGGATATATTTATTGATTTTATTGATTTCTCAGGATTTCCGCCTCAATATGGTTATATTCCTGGTATCATTCCTGTTGCGCCAATCGTTAATCCTCCTCCGTATGGTAGGTCTTTTATGTTTCTATTATGAACTATAAATTTGGTAATGCTTAATGAATTTTTGATCTTCTTTCTTTTTATTAAGCTGCCCCTGTTCCTTTAATGATGGCTCGTCCACCGGTTGGAACTGGTGCTCCAGGCACTGTGACCGCTGCTCCTGTACTTACTGCTCCTCCTCCCCCTCCTCCTCCTGTGATAGGTGGTAGTGCTATTCCGCCTAATCCACTGCCACCAGCGGGGGCGCCAACAACATTACCCACCCAACAACCGTTTGGAGGACAACCACCAAGTTCTATCTTCGTGAGACCTATGGGTCCGGGTACTCCAAGTACTTTACCATTTCAACCATTACAAGGGGCTCCTGCTTCTTCAGGATCTGTATCGCAACCTGAAGCTCCTTCGCCGCCGTCAACGGGCAATGTGCCAACTAGTCTATCACCTCCAGGTGCGTTGCCACCTCCTGGAGCTTCTGCCTCATTTAATGCTCCCGGTTTACCACCACAATTTCCGCCAGGGCAACCTCCCAGAGGTATTAAAAGACAGATGGAGGAATAATCTTATTTGGAATAATCTTATTTGGGTAATTATTTTTAATAATGATCTCAAAAAGTTTTTAGTATATTATTTGAAATATTTGAAATATTTGAAATATTTGAAATGGTTTATGATTTGTAATTAGTAATGTGATTAGAGCTTTGAATTAAAAAAAATATATATATTTTCTTCAGTTCATTTTTAAAAGTAATTACACATTTTCATTCGTTCAAATTTATAATTATAATGACGTGTCCCATCTGATTCAACTCTTATTGATTTATATGAATCATTTCATTAGAAAACTGTTAAAATTGTATATCGAAAAAAAAAGATTCGAGGTCAGAATTACAATTATTCTTTAACCTAATCTGCTTGATCGTTAGAAAAAAATGGAAAAATAGCTCTTAACTTTATACATATATATACATATAAAACTTAGTTTATGAAGTGTT